CCCAAGTCAGGATTCCAATCTTGGATTCCTTACATTGGGTTAGACAAAAGCAGAAGAATCCAAACACATTTAAAGAGATGTTGACCCACCCACTTTGCTTGGGTTTTGTGTGCGTCAAAAGCCATGTGAGGGAGCCTTGGATTCAAACCATTGGACCTCATTATAAATAGACCACTTTCATTCTTTGAAGTTCTCACATTGCACACTCCTAAATCTCTAAAGTTCTTTGCATTCTTTCTTCTTCTTACCTTTAGTCTTCTTTTTGTTCCACACTCCTAAAATGGGTGTAGTGTCTACTATTATCCACTATGATGGTTCCATGAACCCATGTCCCATGGAGGGAGTTACCTTCAATACTGGGACTGCAAAACTTGTTCCTTTAAAGAGAGGAGTTTCTCTACAAATGTTGAAGAAGTTGATCCACAGGAAATTAGAGAAAGAATCCCACGAAAATGTAGCAACCATCCATTTTTGCTGCCCAACTAGACTCGGAGTTGGGATCAATAACTTCATTGTTGTTGAGTTGAAAGATGATGACGACGTGGAGGCCATGTTCGATGTTCATGATTCAAACTCAAGTCTATATGGTATTGAAATTTTTGTTACATTTAAAACTTCTTCTTCTTCATACCCCAACACACACTCACCTGAAATCTCACCCTCACCCTACCAAGTTTTCCCAAACAATGACCCAGAAATACCCACACATAATGACTACATCCCTTTTACCCAAATTCTAACTGGGCCTTCCACTAACATCAATGAAGAACTACCCGCACAAGAGAATGAAATTGTTGGCCTCCCAATTGAAGTCGTTGATCCTTTTAGTGAAGACAAAGATGAAATTCTCAGCCAACACCAAGATGATTCAGAGGACGAACAACCACATATCCCTACACATGCACCAAACTTCATGGAACCATACAACCCACCACAACATTTTCTTAACTTTGAAAGTCACATTCAACAATAAGACCCAGAGTATGGCCATGCGTTGGACAAAGAGTCTTTTGTTTCTCCGGTAGGAACTCTATTTCTTGGACAACGTTTCATAACAAAAGAACAAGTTCAAGATGCCATCAACCGCTTTCACATTGTCAATCACTGCACATACAAGGTGAAAATTTCAAACCAAAGTATATATGTTGTTTAATGTGTTGATAACCAATGCAATTGGAGATGTCGAGCAATATTGCACACAAGAGAGCAATATTGGGAGATTATGAAGCTTGAAGGGCACCATACATGCGTTTCGCCATTAATCAGCCAAGACCATAACAAGTTGGGATATAAAATGATTTCCCAAACAATTGGTCAAATAATTGATGATGATTTGTCAACACCAATCTTCACAATCATAGCCCACATCCAATTAACAACGAGTTACACTATAACGTACAGGAAGGCTTGGTTGGCCAAACAAAAGGCAGTGGAGACCATCTACGACAATTGGGAGGATTCGTATAAGAAGTTGCTTTGTTTGTTACAAGCCATGCAACAATTTGTTCCCGAATTCATCTACAAACTGTAATCACAACCAGCTTACCAAGGTAAGGTCTTTCAACAAAATTCAAATATTTTTAAGCGTATGTTTTGGACGTTTAGGTCATGCATAGATGGATTTATTCACTGCAAGCCCATTGTTCAAGTGGATTAAACTTTTTTGTACGGAAAATATAGAGGTACCTTGTTGGTTGCAGTAGCACAAGATGACTACAACAACATCCTCCCCATTGCGTTTGCAGTGGTTGAAGGTGAAACAAGTGATGCCTGTTTTTTTTTCTTAAAAAACCTCCAACACACCCAACAAGGATTATGCCTCAAATCAGACCGACATGAATCCATTAGAAGTGCATACATGAGAAATGGAAGCGGATGGACAAAAAATAATTCAGTGTATGTCTACTGCATTAGATACATTACACATAATTTTATGAGACGTTTCAAAAATATCGCACTAAGGAAAGATGTTATAAATATGGGTAATTCCCTTGCTTTAAATTTTTTACAATTTATTCATTATTTAACTGTTGCTAATAAATATTTATATTAACTATGTTTTTTAATATTATTGTAGCATATGGGATGACTGAACCGCGATTCTACTATTATTACAACATCTTGAGGCAATGTGACATACAAGCAGCTAATTGGTTGGATGAGATACCTAGAGAAAAACGGGCACTTGCATGGGACAATAGACGATGTTGGGGCCACATTACGACCAACATAGCAGAGTCTATCAACTCTGTTTTGAAAAAAAATAAGAAATCTACCTATTTACTCCATGGTCAATGCAACATACACCCGCTGCAACAAATTTTTCATTGAAAGAGGGAGACAGATAGATGCCATGATCAATGCTGGTCATGTATACTTTAAAATTTTGGTGACAAATTTAGAGGAAGCACAAACACAGGCAAACACGCATAGGGTCATAACTTTTGACAGATCTACCACAAAATTTGTAGTAGAAGAAACAAAAAATCCGTATGAAGTTCGACTAGCAGGGAAGTTTGCAGTTCGCCTTGATGAGTTGTGATATGACTATGGGAAATTCCAAAAATTTCACATGCCTTGTTCACATGTTCTTGCTACATGCAAGCATGCATACCATGATTTCAACAACTACATTCATCAAGTGTATACCTTACAACAAGTTTCAAAGATATACGAAACACAGTTTGGGTTGTTGCAAAATGAAGAATATTGGCCAACATACACAGGACCTACTTTGTGTGCAAATCCAGAAATGAAAAGAACTTCAAAGGACCGACCAAAATCAAGTCGTATAAGAACTGAGATGGATATTACAGAAAATCAAAATAGGATTAAAAAAATGTTCATATTGTCATACCTCTGGTCATAGCAGAAGAGCATGCCCCAATGTTGCACGTGCATCTACTTCACATCATTAGATTGTATTAGTTAAGAAATGCTCCAATGTATGAAACTTAGGAGTTTTTCAATTAATAAAATTTCTTCTTTGTAGAGTGGGGATTACCTACAATGTAATAACTCATGGGCTCATCTGTTCTTACAATAAAGATAACTATATTGGCAACAAATCATAATAGGAATACTGGTTTGTTGCATGAATTGTTAATATCTTTCACTTTAGTCCTTTTGTTGTTCAATCTTGTTCATGGCTGAATCGAAGATATGCTGACAAGGTTGCAATTTGCAATCCAGGGAGTGTATAACTTAAAATTATCAAGGACAAATTTTTGAATACGAAAATAATTAGACAAGCCTTTGCAGGTTTTATGAAAGAATTATTGTAAAAGACTTAAGTTGATTAGTGAAGATATAAGATTCAATTATTTTAAAATTATAATCGATTAGTTTAGCTTATAATCGATTATAAATAGTTGCAGATTTCCTCGCTCAAGCGATGGATTTCTCGCTTGAGCGAGAGTTGATCACAGGCTAAAACTCCAACGCAGTTAACTACATAATGCAACTTGGGTCACCACATATTTCAATCAGTTCTCGCTTGAGTGAAATTACACATCACTTGAGTGAAAAAACACCCGAGATTACCCATTAGTTTCGAGTCTCCTTGCTTAAGTGATGGATTTCTCGCTTGAGCGAGAGAGAAATAATCGATCATAATTTTAAATATTTTATTATTTTAAAGTTATGATCGATTAGTTTAGATTATAATCGATTATAAATTTTCTCGCTCAAGTGATGGATTTTTCACTTGAGCGAGAGTTGACCACAGGCGAAAGGTCCAACGCAATTAGCCAATCACTTCTCGCTTGAGTGAAATTACCCATCGCTTAAGCGAGAATTGACCCGATATTACCCATTAGTTTCAAATGTCCTTGCTCAAGTGATGGATTTCTCGCTTAAGCGAGAGAGAAATAATTGATCATAATTTTAAATATTCGCTTATTTTAAAATTATGATCGATTAGTTTAAATTATAATCGATTATAAATTTGTTCGCTCAAGCGATGAATTTTTCACTTGAGCGAGAATTGACCACAGGCGAAAGGTCCAACGCAGTTAGCCAATCATTTCTCGCTCGAGCGAAATTACCCATCGTTTGAGTGAGAATTGACCACAGGCTAAATGTCCAACGCAGTTAGCCACATAATGCAACTTGGGTCACCACATATTTAAATCAGTTCTCATTCGAGCGAAATTACCCGTCGCTTGGGTGAAAAAACACCCGAGATTACCCATTAGTTTCATGTCTTCTCGCTCAAGCGAAGGGTTTCTCGCTTGAGCGATAGAATTTCTTGCTCGAGCAAAAATTTTATCGCTTGAGCGAAATTAAACCCCACAAAACTCTTAAGTTCCAGGTCATCTTGCTCAAGCGATGCATTTCTCGCTTGAGCGAGAGTACCATGAACAATAAACAATGCTAGTTGGGTAAATAATGTTTCAAATGTGCTATTTTAGAAATTTTTTTAAAAATAATATTATTTATGAAAAAAAGTCACAAGATAACATTTAAATGTAATTACTTTAATTTATCATTTATCGCCAATTTTTATTGTGAGACGAAGATGGTAACTGTTGAGATAAAATTATAATACCTATAATTTAAATTTTATTATAGATATATAAAATGATTTATACGAGTGGATAATATTTTTATCATTATATTACGTCCTATATAAAAATTCTAACTCATTACATTAATCTTGTCCTACGTCTTCTTTTGTTTTGGTTCTTGTGTGAAGAAATTTGTGGATGTATTTATCTTATTTATAATTTTAATATAAGTTGTTTTAACGTCTTATTCCTTGTCATTTTGAGCTAATAATGACAAATATGTAATTATTAATCAATTTTAGTAAAAATTAGTCTAAATCATATAACAAAATAAAATAAAAACTTTCAGTGTTTGTAATTTTATGTTTTAAAATTCAAATTCTCACTCTTAATTTACTTTATATGTTGAAAACGATAATAAGTTGAGTGCCCTAAAACATAAAACTAAATTTGTGCGAGATAAAATACCAAAGTGAGTGAGTAGAGAGAACCATGGAAATGGAGTTAATATCCAGAGAAACCATCAAACCATCCACAGCAACTCCTCCCCACCTCAGAAACTACCCTCTCTGCTTCATAGACCACATCGTTTTCCGCAACTACATTCCAGTACTTTTCTTTTACTCTCCAAACCTTCGTTCCAACAACCACCAAACATCATCCAAAATATCAACTCTCAAGAAATCCTTGTCCCAAGTTTTGTCTCGATACTACCCCTTCGCGGGCAAGCTCAAAGACCAACTTTCCATCGAATGCAACGACCAAGGGGTGTCCTTTCTAGTCACAAGCTTCAGATGCAACCTTTCATGGATCCTCCACAACCCCACCCACGCATCGTTCAACCCTCTGTTCCCAGATGAACTACAGTGGAACCCCATGAAAACAACTTCAACCATAGTAGCCATTCAGATAAACTGTTTTGCATGCGGAGGAATCGCAATCAGCGTCTGCATGTGTCACAAAGTTGGCGACGCCGCCACACTTTCCAACTTCGTCAATGACTGGGCCGCATTCAACCGTCAAAATGAAAAACAAGAACAATTACCCTTCCCAGTTCCTGGGGCTTCATTTTTCCCGCAAGAAAACTTGCCTGTTTTCCCGGAAGCTGCGTTCGTGAAAAACGACACCGTCTGCAGAAGGTTCGTCTTCGAGGCTGCTAAGATTGACTCGCTCAAAGCCATGGTGTCCTCCCGCAACGTGCCCAACCCCACGCGCGTCGAAGTTGTCAGCGCGTTGATCTACAAGCGCGCCGTTTCATCGCTTGGGTTGACTTTCAAAACGACGGCGTTCCGTACCGCCGTGAACCTCCGCAATAGAACGGTTCCCCCACTTCCTGAAAAAAGCGTGGGGAACCTGGTTTGGTTCCTCTTCGTGTCCAACGCGCGGGAAGAGACTGAGCTGCACGAGCTGGTGCTGAAAATGAAGCACGGGCTGAGCGAGTTTTGTGACACTTACGGGAAGAAGTTTGGAGGGAAGAACAAGGACTCGGGGTTCATCACGGAGTGTCTGAAGCAGGCTACTGCGGCTCCCGAGCCTCGTGGCTCGGATGCGGAGAGGGAAGAGAGTTTGTTATGTTGCGCGAGTTGGTGCAGGTTTGCGATGTACGAAGCGGATTTTGGGTGGGGGAAACCGGTGTGGTTCACCACTAGCGAGTGCCCTGTGAAGAACAGCATTGTTTTGATGGATACGAGAGACGGTGAAGGGATGGAAGCGCTTGTGAACATGGAGGAGCATGCCATGGCCAAGTTTGAGCGTGACGTGGAGCTTCTTCAATATGCTTCTCTTAATCCTTCAGTTCCACATGCTAGCCTTACGATATAACCATGGGAATGTGCCCACCAAAAATCAGTGTTATTCCAAATCATTTAAAGATCAATTTTAAGGGTTCTCATCCAAAAGCACTTAAAGAGTTTAATGAACGATCAATTGTCATTAGATTTGGGTCTAGTTCCAAAACTAGTAGAGGGTAGAAAATAAAACAAGAAGTGAAGAGAAACAAAACTATAGAGCACATAATTGGAGGTAAGATGTATGCATGTTATAAAAATAGTATTAGTTGAAGTCGTTTTATTTCAGGGTTAAATTTATTATATTATTTTTTATTTATAAAATAAATTTACCTAAACAATGACAATTTGTGCCTTCTTAATTAATGACCACTAATTAAATCATTTTTCATTTATGATATTTTAAAAGTATTAAGAATTAAATTATAAGTTGAAAAAAAATTGTGTAAAGTTTTGTCTTTAAATAATTTATTTTATAAAATATGATTTTAAACCAATATAGAAAGAAGATATAATACATAATGTAATTTACTTGTATTTCACAAAATAAGATTACAAACATTTAAATAATAATAATAATAGAAGTTTATTAATTTTTTAAGAGAATTGTCATTGGCATGATTCGAACCTAGTACTTTAGAGTTGAAAGTCGATACTCCAACCACTAAACTACTAGAATTTTTTGATAATAACTTACAAATAAATTATATTTATATACAAATAAATATATATCCGTGTAAATATATAAATATATAAATACAAATATATTTATATATTTTGATATATTTATATAGTTATATATTTATATGTTGGATGTGAGGGCACACTCGAAAGTGAAAGTGTGTGTCGAGTGAGTTTTCAAAATTTGATGCTAAATTTGTGAGCATGTATCTTTATATGAGTTTGTAATTTAAGGACAGAATATAATCTTTATAATTTTATTTATATAATGATATAAAATAAATTTGGGAAACGCGTTATTTGCTCTCAAGCAAAAAATACCAATTTTCGCTCAAGCGAGACTTGAGTAAGTGAATTTCCGCGAGCTTTAACATATTTTCACTCAAGCAAGAGTCAATCACACTTTCACCCTCGATCGAAAAATACCAATATAATTTATTTGTAAGTTATTATAAAAAAATTATAGTAGTTTAGTGGTTGAGATATTAACTTTCAACCCTAAAATACTCGGGTTCAAATGCTATCGGTGACAATTCATTAACTTAAAAGAATTTTTGGCTGAAAATAAAAATAAAAATACTTTCCAGAAAATATATACAAATAAATATATATTTACATGGATATATATATTTATTTGTATATAAATATAATTTATTTGTAAGTTATTATCGGAAAATTCTAATAGCTTAGTGGTTGGAGTATTAGCCTTCAACTCTAAAGTACTGGGTTCGAATCTTGCCAATGACAATTTTCAAATATAAGTGAGTTTTTGGGTGAAAAAAAAAAGAGACTTTCCACGTCGGTTCCATATGAAGGAACCGACATGGAAAGTGTCAATAAGTAAAAAAAAATAAAAAAAAAAGACTTTCAACGTCGGTTTATATGGGAACCGACGTTAAATGACGACGTAGAAAGTATACTTTGTAGTAGTGGTAAATGGACAAATGATTCATCACACTCCCTCTTTAATGATTGGAGAATATATCTTATTAAATTTTCTTCATCAATCTAAATACTGCACAGAACTTTTAAAGAAATTTGAGATGGAACATTGCAAAGAAGCATCAACACCAATGTCCACAAATTGCTATCTTAATTCTGATGAAAAAGGAAAACCTATTGATGAAACTAAATATAGAGGGCTTATTGGTTCTTTACTATATCTAACAGCAAGTAGACCTGACATTATGTTTAGTGTTTGTATGTGTGTCAGGTTTCAATCTGCACCAAAAGAATCCCATCTTACTGCTGCAAAAAGAATCCTCAAATATCTCAAAGGAACTTTAAATGTTGGGTTATGGTATCTTGGTGAGTCCAAACTAAATTTAATTGGATACTCTGACTCAGATTTTGCAGGTTGTAAGCTTGATAGGAAAAGCACTAGCGGCACTTGTCATCTCCTTGGAAGCAGTCTAATCTCATGGCATAGTAAAAAACAATCATGTGTTGCTCTTTCTACAGCTGAAGCCGAGTACATTGCAGCTGGAAGTTGTTGTGCTCAATCTCTTTGGATCAAACAACAACTTGAGGATTATGGTTTAATTATCAGAAAAATTCCTCTTTTATGTGATAATACTAGTGCCATTATGTTAACTAAAACCCAATTCAACATTCTAGGACAAAACATATAGAAATTAGACATCATTTCATTAGAGATCATGTTTTGAAAGGTGATTGTGAAATTTTCTTTATAGAAACTGAAAAACAACTAGCAGATATTTTTACAAAACCTCTTGCTCGTGATCGTTTTTACAAAATCCGCACTGAATTAGGCATTTTAGATGCATCAAACATTACTTAGTTTTTCAAAACTGGTTGTTTTAATCGATAAAAACAAGTTTTAAATCGATTAAAAGAACTTATACATCATTTTTCTCACTGTTTTAATTGACTAAATGTCGATTTAATCGATTAAATGTCGATTTAATTGATTAAATCAACTTTTGTTTCAAACTTTCGAAATTCATCACTATTTTAATCGATTAAAACATTATTTTAATCGATTAAAACTAGTAACAATATCATTTTAATCGATTTCGTCCTGTTTTTAATCGATTATTACTCTGGAAAGAAAAATTAAAGGCTTTAGTTAATGGTTGTTCTTGTAACATGCTACTAAAGCATGGTTCCCTTATCTTTACATGTGTTAATTGTATTCATTACAAACGTGTTAATGAAGATAAGTTTGAATCAACTTTGATTGGTCTTTACATGAGTAAGGTATCTTGTTCAAGTCTTTTCCTGTTTTACAAAAACTAATACATGTCATACATAGTTTTTGTTCCTTTATTTCCTATTTTTGATGAAGTCAAAAGGGGGAGAAATAATTGCTTTGCTTTTATAATTGATTTTCCTTATTTAGGGGGAGTAGCAATATAGGGGGAGAAATAGGAAAATGATTAGTATTTTGAATACTCACTAATCTATATATTCAAGTGACTTCTTCTGCAGAGTTATTAGTCAAAGAGGTGTTTGTCTTCATCAAATAGGGGGAGACTGAAAGCGATGAAGATCTTATTGAATTACTTTGGCAAAGATCTTGTTGATTTGACGAAGTCAAAAATGAAGTCAAAGGCTACTTTGTGGCAGTCAAAGGTCACTTAGATAAAAGGGTAGTGGGATTAGTGAGTCCGCATCTCCGCTTAGGTATAATCATTTTTATCTCTCTCGTCGCATGAGGTTTCTTCATTTAAAAGATTTTGCAAATGCCTCTAAAAAATGTTTAAACGGTTAAAAACAAAGTATTTTGATAAAAGGTTTTTTAATTAGCTATTTTAACTAATAGCATATAAGCTTTATCAACTAAAATGTTCTTAACACTTTTGTAACAGGTTTTTAACTCGATATGTTTTCGAAATAATCGATTGTTTTCATTAGAAGGATTTTTGAAAAACTTCTGCCAGTATTTTAACTGATATAAAATTGATATAATTGATTAAAATGACCTAGACTATTTTGAAAAGTGCTCTGGCAGAATTTTAATCGATATAAACTCGAAATAATCGATTGAAATAACTTGAAGTGTTTTGAAAGTTGTTCTGTCAGTATTTTAATCGATACAAATGCGAAATAATCGATTGAAACAACTAAGAGGTTTTTCCAAAATGTTTTAATCGATTAAAACAAGCTTGCTATCGCTTAAAATAACTTAGAAAGTTTTACGAAATCTTTTGGCAGAATTATAATCGATTAAAATGCGTTTCAATCGATTAAAATAACTAAGTGAACTTTTTTCAAAGTGTTTTAATCGATTAAAACATATTGTTATCAGTTAAAATCATTTAGAAAAGTTTATAAGAATGTTTTGCAGTATTTTAATCGATTGAAAGACGAAACAATCGATTAAAACAGTTTGGAACATTTTTTACAAAGAGTTTTAATTGATATTAACGGTGTCGTATCAGTTAAAACAAATATGGAAAATAATCAAGAACTTTTTAACATATTAAAAGAAGTTTTAACAGATTAAAACAAGACTTTTAACATATTAAAAGATTATTTTAACAGATTAAATAAACCAGCAGTTTTGAAAATCTTCTATATAAATAGAGTTGCTTGAACTTTTTAAAACATCATCTTTTAGCAATCAATCAAGCAATCATAAGTGCTACTTTTAAGAGAGAATCACGCTAGTTTTGTGAAGTTCATAGAAGTTCTTTCTTGAGCCAAAATTTGCATTCTTTTGAAAAAGAAACTCATACTACAGAGTTGCATAAATCTGGTTTGAGCGTTCTAGTTTCTTCCCTTTGTTTCTTTACTTTCTTTACTGTATTGTGGGTGCCTGGAATTGTGGGCACTGGTTTCTGTAGCTGGAATTTGGCTGCAGGGTTGGTCAAGAACTGGAATTTGGTTCTTGGTGAAGGTTTAGGTGTAGGAACTGGAATTTTGGTTCTTGTGGTAGATTGAGTGTGAGATTAAAGTTGTAATCTGAAAAACGTTCAATCTAGTGGAACCCAGCTGGAATTTGGCTGGAAACTAGACGTAGCCCTGGGATTAGGTGAACTAGTATAAATCTTGGTTGTATCTTTCTAAACCTTTCTCTCTTTTAATTCTGTCACTACCTTTATTTTGATTGCTTGCTGTGTGTGATTCAAGAACTGGTCAGAATTCTTAATCTTTGAAATAGATAATCTGTAAATTGCGAAAATCTTTCAAAGATCAATTCACCCCCCCTCTTGATCTCAGCCTACATTTCTAACAAAGAAGGGTTGGACACATAGGATGGTTGCATGAGCTGCCCAAAGGTGTAGGACACTCATTTTTCATGTCCTACACCCCTTTTTTGAGAGGAAGAAGCTTGAGATGTGGGATTGGTATGCTTGGGACAACCCAAAAGGAAGCACACCTTTTTTT